TTCCAAAAACCAATCTACAGTAACAAGTTTTATTTTTTCGCGAATCACTATCACAGGAGAGCTAAGATCATGATTACAATAGTAATACTTTTATTTAATAAACGATGCACAATTAATTGGGTCATATTTATATATTCTTGCATTTTAATGCTAATGTAGTTATCATCGATTTTTAAAAGGTGAAATAACTGTTTAAAATTTGACTAAGTAGTAACCTCTAGTCTGTCGTGGATTTCATCTGCGAAGCGAGTAAGCCATCAGAGCTCACATGCCCAGTAATCTCGCAGTTTCCGCATCTTCTCGATGGAAATCCTGCAAAACACTTTCTTCGCCACAACACCTTCACAAGTGTCTGTGCAATCCGTCATGATCCCACCGCTGTGGTCCAACAAGGGCATGTAGAAGAAAGAAAAATATACTGTAAGGTGTATATAATTTAATTAGTGAGTTATGCCTGAAGGGAAACTTATGTACCTCTATGGTAACACTTACACTGTAATATCGCATGACCCATGTGCATCTTTCCCATAGTACAAAACATTTTTCTTTTCATCTGCTTAGGAATACGCTCTGCTGTGATGAGTGGAGAAGATTTGTAAAGCTTTAGAGATTTTTGTAGTGTGTTCCTATCTCCGAAATCTTCATATCCTTGAATCCGGCAGCCTAAAAAAGGTGTATGAACGAACAGACCAGTCCAATATACCTTCAGCACGAATAATCTATTTAGTGAAACTTTATTCATAACGTATGCAACTATAGGTGAGTTGCAAACAATAGGTATTTACTACCAGTATCTTAATTGCCTCAAGTATTCCCGTCATTATCCACCGATCGCTACGTGACCTTTTCCACCACGAGAAACTACTACATTCTTCAAACAGTCGAACTACAGCTGATCAGGCACCATACTTTAAGCAGAGCACTAAAAATGTTGCACTCACCTTTTGTGTTGGCTTTCAACCCGCTCCTGGCATGTAAACTACACATTCTGATAGCTTTTTGAAGGCCACTACCTTATTCAAAGGAAGAGATCATGAAGTACCTTCCACAGTAAATCCCTCACAAGCCACTTTATGATAGCAGCTTGTTGGGAGTTTTTGGCTGCAATTAGCCAAACACTGTATTTCTTTGAAAGCGCGTGCTTTTAATTAAGTAATAAAGTGAAAACGGCTAATCGATTTTCTGTATTAGTCTCTGTATAGTTTTATAGTGTATTAAATGCAGTTTTCTTTGACTTTTTTATGTCTATAGGTTCGTTTATGATTCGACTAGCAGCTGTTTGAAATATATACTCACTCATATTACGGTAAAGGAATCTTACCGAAATAAAAAGTTATAGTTGTACTTGTACTTATAATAAATTGTAGTATTATTATCTTAAATCTATAATTATTTTATAAGCTATTTTATCGAAATAAAACGAATTTCATTTTGCAGACTTGTTGTAATAATAATTAAAACTTTTATACCCTGATTCTCCAAACCGCGGGTGCCGGCCTATCATTTTTGTGAAAGTAATGTGATTTTTCAGAGCTCTGCACATCGCATTTGGTCGTTGCTTACCATCCAAATGCTTAGACATAAACAAGTTAAAAGCGTTGCGCTAAATAAGGCAGTCTAATTTGGCGACTTTCGTTTCCTGCAGAGCGCAGATGTTGAAAGTGGCAAAGCTGACATTAATGCAATGATAGTTGAAAAAGTTGATTTCTTCGGTACGGTTAAATGTTTTGGAGGGCCGCTGCGTTTGCACCATCTCGTAACATCTATAAAGCTTTAATTATAACTATAATATAGAACGCACTAAAATTAGCAAAAAGGTAACAGATCGTAGGTTGCATATAAAGATATAAGGCAGATGCATTTCCTGTTAATCGTTATTTGTTTATTTGAGAGTGCTAAAAATGAGTAATACTATGTACTGATACACATTACACTTGACTCTGCTTATCTTGACTGCTGCTGTTTTAATGTAACGTTGACTTTACCGACCCTATACTAGTATACTATTTCGGTTTTCGGTGATTGACATTTAACCTATTGTTACACGTCTGGTACCCACCACTCCATTATAATAAAGCTATAATACCATAGCTAATATATCAAACATTCATGAAATGAAATGAAATGAGGTATTTATATCCCGCTCATATGATTAACCAACAACACAAGGAAGGTGGTTAACCATGTCAAAGCGGTTGACTGTTAGTGATGTGAGAAAATGTGTAAAGTGAATAACGAAAAACCGGTTTCAAAAAGAAAAACCGTTTTCAAAGAAACATGAGATAAGACTAAGTGCCGGAATTGTGAAGAACTTGTAATAAAATATGTCTGGAACCGGATAATTCAGATCACGGTCATGGTAATATCACATATTGATATACGTCCTGTATTTGCAAACGTTCATTACCCTGCCGATTTTGCGTTACCTTACGAGACATATTTAAAAGGTACGAAAGTCGGTGGTTTTCCGGAAAAAAAAACCATATTTCACGTATTTTCTTTAATTACGACTTTGTCGATTTACTATCAATATAGTAAGTTATAAATATGATTCATGACGGTTGGACACGTTCCATTAGAAGTCTGCAAGCTCTGCTACTATTTCATTTGCCACGGCGGTGAAATTTCGGGAGTGGATCAGGATAACAAACACCGGCGGTCCCCTAATCCGTCTGGAAGATTGGAAGTCAAGTTAAGAAGTTGAAACTAACTTTCAAAGGCGCCGGAGAAACTGTTTATAAGATGAAACAGCTTGTTAGAGGTGCATACAATTACACCTGGGACTACACTGGAGAGAGAAACCTCCCAGAACCAGAAGATTAAGAAGAAATTGACTTGTAATTTTTCAAATTTCATATTTTACTTTATTGATTTTCTCAAATATTGGGTTTTATTTTTGTAAAATAAAGAAATGAAAAGATCCCCAAATACCATGATTTAATTTGGGGTACGAAATGCGGTAGTTTCCGGCAAAAAATCCCATATTTTTGTTCCCAAATCATTTAGGTCACCGGAATTATGTCGAAAATAAATATTTCCCGTAAGGTAGTACATTTTGCAATCTTAAATGCCCTATAAAGCTATATATAATAGCAATGATCACTAGCAACCGCTGAAATGTTGCTAACAATAGAATTATAATTAGTGCCACTTAAATAGTATATCAGAAGAAACTTTAAGGCCTTTTTAGCTAGGATACTTGCTCATCCCATCAAACATTCAAATTTCGATTAGCTTTTTCTACTAAGTTGCAGTCATGTCCGGGTACATATTTCTTTCATACTAATTAAATCTTAAAATGTGTAGTTCATGATCAAAGTTCCATAATAATATAATGTAGGAATTTATTTTCTCCCTTTGAATCAATCAAGCTAGATAATTTGTTGTAAATACTGAAATCAAACTATCAATTTACAGGCTATCCGGCTATCGTCAAACATGTTGCAAGGCGTCATCTTCAGTGACATAAGCCTAAACATTTTAAAAAGTTAATAAAACCCAAAATTCCTTTCAAAATCTGAACACTCTTAAAACGGTTATAAAATTAAAATTAAGATGTTAGGAGTAAGGGAAGGCCAAAAGGATTTATAGTGTTTATTCCCAAAGGTTTTAAAGTCTTGAGAAGTTGAATGTATTTATGTTCACGGACTTCTAAAAGTAAAGTTTTAGGACTAGAATTATCAATAATTGACACATTACAGATTTGGTTAAATTCCTCCCTTTGTCTAAAACCATGATCCAACAAATGTAAGCCCAAACTATATACATCACTTGTTTCATCTACCTTATCACCATTTAAAAGTTTGTAATATTTAACCCTATAATATGTTCTCCAGTCCTAACCCGTAGAGAGCGAGTATAGTGCCATCGACGTAAGCCTTTACACAGACACTACCATGGAAACACTATAATGTTCTGGATCAACCGAACTTGTAATCCTGTAATCTGAAATTTCTCTCCTTCACATCGAAATCTTAATGTAATCAGCAGAACACCATACATTTCATGTTTAATTCTTGTTTAATACCCCATATCCAGTAGGTGTAATATTTCGGGACCCTTTTAGAAAAATTCGAAGATCGAGTGTCATAGAGTGATTAAGCACGCTCAGTAAAATCACATAATAGTATGTCCTGTATGTGATGTTCATTACTCTGCACATCACATACCTACAGCCGACATATTTTGCGCTATTAGTACCTATTACATTTTGCAATCTTAAATGCCCTATTTATGCTAATTAGTACCACGGAAGTAAAATATTACCATATATGATATATGATATATGTTATATATGATATATTACATATTATATATACTCATGTAGATTATGTGGGGTTTTAAAAGGTTATATAATTTTAATTCCTAAATTCTTGCTGTTCGAGTTATAATTGGTTCTTTAAGTTGTTCTCGCAACATTTTGAAGATCTCGCTCCATTTATAGGCTTAGTTAATCCAGTCTTTATCAAATACTCGATACGAAATCTAATTGGAAATGGCATCATACTTTCTCGGAATTCGGATGTTCATTCTTTCATTTTACTTAATCGATTTAACTTTTCCTGCAGTGTAATCGAGCAGATCAGCTCGTGACTATGAAATTGTGACACCCCCTTGTACTCTTGTAGTAAGTGAAATGGGCACACGTACGGTACAATGTACCGTACGTGTGCCCATTTCACTTACCCACCTAATGGTGTAACATTGCATTGTTTGTATTTCCATTTTGTATGTCTGCTAAGCTTCAGCACCAGTTCAAGTTGAGCTCTTCTTCATATCCCCACGTCATAACAAGTCTATAACTGGTTTCCGTGTTCATAATTTAAAATAATACTTGTTGTTAGTTGTGTTAGCAGCGTTTTCTTTATCAGTGTTGTGTTGGGAATTTATTTTGTTTCATTTCTAGGTTAACCTTTTCATGGTTAACCACCTTCCTTGTGTTGTTGGTTAATCATATGAGCGGGATATAAATACCTCATTCATTTCATTTCATTTCATAGTGACAAAAGCTACATGAAAAAGTTGGCAACAATCCAAGGTGTTGGGTCTCTTGTCAGTTTAGTCAGAGGAATAAGCAGTCTACAAGCGTCAGCTCCATCTCTTCTACCACCAAGCCCAAGACATCTATCTACAGGTTAGCCCCACCAATATTACGAGTTTTACACCAAACGTTTAAACTGAGACCAAGATTTGTTCTTTATATTTGCAATAATTTCATCACGTTATTTTATTTTATCTATGCACCAAGAAGGGATTTAGAATTCGATTTTTTATCGGTTCAAAGTAAACTTAGCCACTGTTTATTCAGAAAGCAGCGCAAAGCTGAAAGATGGTGATACGACACACAGACCATTAACAATAAACCTACTGCCCCTCTGGAGGGGCCAGAAGAAACAGGGCGTACGATACGGCTCCTCCATCCTCCTCAGCAAGATCCAAGAGCTGTCTCGGGGACAACTAACCAGCAACTTTATAACAGATCGCAGTCTGAACAATAATGATGTTATCAGTCAGGAGAACTTTCTGGAGACGATGAGTGAGGTGGGTAAGGAGGTAGAGGTTGGTGACGACATGGTGGTGAACCTGGGTGGGGATCACGCTATCCCCATGATGACCATCCCCAACATGCTCCACAAGTACCCCAACCTCCGGGTCATCTGGATTGACGCTCACGCTGATATTAACTCTGTAGAGACCTCTCCTTCTGGTAACTTCCACGGCATGCCGGTCTACTTTCTTTCTAACGCTTCAGGGAGCAAGGAAGGGAAGTTTGACCTGGCTAACATGGCCTATGTTGGAGTCCGGGAGACCGACTCGGGAGAGGATGCACTGCTAGAGGAGTTCTCTGTCAGGAACTACACCAAGACAGAGATAGACCAGAAGGGTATATACTCGGTGGTTGAGGATCTGATCGAGCGCCTGAGTCTGGAAGATAACCCAGTCCACATCTCGTTTGATATCGACGCTTTGGACCCCACCCTGACTCCGAGTACTGGGACTAGAGTCCCTCATGGTTTGTCAGTGTTGGATGTGGTGACCATCTTCAGAGAGGTCAGGAAGACTGGAAACTTGGTATCTTGTGATATTGTCGAGTTTAACCCCCTGATCGGGACTGAAATTGAGGTGGAGACAACACTAAATTCGATCATTCCCGTGTTGGAGACTCTTATTTAAATGTTTTTGGTACTCCGTATAAAATTGCTCACCTAATGCGGGTTTTGACTCAGCGGGTAATTACTCCTACCCTTTTTAACTGCGGCAGTGAAATCCCGGCCGAAGGCCGGGTTACACTAGTATATAATATATATATTATGATTGGTATTGTTTTACACACATTATTGGTATTGTTTTACACACTAAAAAAACTTTGACAATGTGCTGTGCAGGACAGCAAAATACTATGTTATCATAGTTGATAGTTGTTGAGTGCCAATGGATCTACCAAAATATGTTTCTCAGTAGACCAAACAGATAGTTGTTACTGTAGCAAGAGTGCTGCGGCCCGCCCGCTCACCTAGTCACTTGTTAGACTCCGCCACAGCCAAGCGACTAATAGTGAGGGGTTAAGGTACCATACGGGTAACGGGAATAACTCTCTCCAAGGATTTAACCACCAAGAACAGGTCCTAGCCAACTCCAACTTGCTTCAAGTCCAACTCCGAAAGGGGTCCATAATAAAACACAAGGTTATATTATTTGAAATCCATATAAGTATATCGTCACGCATTTTATATCGCCATGTAGTAGATATCCTTACGGGAATTTTCTGCACTATACGCTATAGAGACACCAGATATTCTGTATTTTTGACCGTAGAATTCATTAAAAGTGGTCCTGAGATGATTAGACTGATTTTCCCCGGCTAAAACCCAATTTTCGGTTTTAAAATAGGCAAAAAAACCATTTTTTAAAATTTTTGAGCAAGTTAATTTCGTTCATGGCATATCAGCAAAATTTGCATAAAAGTGTAAATTAGAACTAGCTGCACAAGATTGTGTCAATATTGTGCTATTATTGCAGGAATTCCCGGTCAAAAATCCAATCGAATGGCGATATAGGGTTGTCGAGATACAGTGTATGATATGAATTGTGCCAGGCAGGGCAGACGATAAACAACTTACCAAAAATTTTACCGTGGATGTTTATAGTCATTTGTTACAAGTCTGGCAACCCTTTCAGCCCGGACAACTACAGAGCAATAGCTGTTGGTAGCTGTATGGGTAAACTGTTTTCTAGCATCTTACTTGAGCGTCTCCTGCACTTCAAAAAGCTCTACTGCCCTGACCCAAAAGAACAACTAGGGTTCTCGAAGGGTGCTCAAACAAATGACCACGTTTTTACCCTTAAGACAGTCATTGACAAATATACCAAGGTTAAGAAAGCTCGCCTCTATGCATGCTTTGTTGATCTAAGAAAGGCCTTTGACACTGTATGTAGGGACCTCCTTCTGCACAAAATCACATGCCTTGGAATAACTGGAAACTTCTTCAATTGCCTAAGTGATATGTATAGAAACTCAATAGCTCATATAAAAATCTCCAAACTCTTGTCCCCTAATATTGACATTGGAAAAGGAACAGAGCAGGGACACCCCTATCACCGGACCTTTTTTAAAATCTATATCAACGACTTGTCATCTCTCCTGAAATCTGTTGGTGATTATCCTATTCTAGCTGACGTCCTAATATCACATCTGCTCTGGGCTGACGATCTTGTCTTACTTGCCCTAAGTCCCAAGGCCTTGCAAGACAATATAAACATCCTATTCGACTTCTGTAACTCTATGGGCCTTGAAGTAAACATTAAAAAAACCAATATTCTCATATTCTGCCCTCCTAAAATAAAACAATCCTATGAAACATTCATTTTGGGAGGCCAGCCCATCCAACATACCGAAAAATACTGCTATCTTGGCATTATATTCCACAGAAATGGATCTTTTACAGCAGCAAATACTGAACTGAGGGCCAAGGCTCTCCGTGCTCTCTATGGCCTCAAAGGCAATATCGTCAAAGATGCCCTCTCTCGCCGTTCCCTAAACATTCTATTTGACTCTCTGATAAAACCAATACTGCTCTATGGCTGCCAAATCTTATGTCCTCACTCAAAAACCATGAGATACCTCTCCAAAACAGATAGCAAAGCCAACCCCCAGCATACTCTCAAGTACATCTCACAAGACCACTATGAAAGATTCCACCTTAAGTTTATCAAGTGGTCCTTGTCTGTCCATTCAAAAGCATCAAATATAGGCTGCTGGGGCGAAAGTGGGCGCCACCCCCTCTTCTTTGAAGCCTGCAAACTTGCAATAGATTTCTATAGTCGCCTTGAAAGCACTGAAAATGAACTTCTCTCCGCTGCATTTCACGAGCAGATTATGCTGGGCCTTCCTTGGTACTTTGGTACACCAACATCTCCAATCTTCTCACCAAATATAACTTCCCCCACTCATCCTCTTCAAAATCCAAGCTCTCTACCCAAATCAGTCACAACATGAGGGAAGAATTTGTGGATACCTGGAAATCTGCCAAGGCATCCTCATCTAAATTAGAATTCTACAATCAAATTAAACATGATTTTGAACCAGAAACATACTTAGGAGTGGTTAAGATCCCTGGTGCTCGGAAAAGCTTAACAAGGTTTCGTATTAGCTGCCACAATCTTTACATTGAGAGGGGCCGTTACGAAACCCCCCTAGTACCAAGAGAACATCGATGGTGCACTTTCTGCTTTTTCAGCAATGGGGCTTAAGCCTATTGAGGACGAAATTCATGTTCTAACTGACTGTTTATTCTACTCCTTAGTTAGAAAAAAATTTAACTTCCATCCCAAAAATATTACTGACCTAGCCGGCTTGCTATCCGATAAAACACTAGACCCTACAAAATTTACTGCCACAGCAAGAGCAATCCATTCAATTCTCTCTGTGAACGAACATTTTACAGCCTACTATAAGAGCCCAGATTTCCACTCAAATACTGGCCAATGCATATTAATGCTATAGGACCTCAAAAATAGTATTATAAAACATTTCTATTTTATCCCTACACATTTGTAAATAACTAGAATTGTGTAACCTTAAATTATTTCAGAATTATAACTATTGTGAATTCAATAAAATAATTATCACTTTGTATCCTTGTATCCTTGTATCCTATCCTTGTATCCTTTGTCATAATCCCGAAATCAATTTATCATGATTGTACAATTATATTGAAGTGTTGAATCTAGTTCATGATACTACAGAAATAAAATCACCGATATATTTTTATCAGACGAAAAATTATATGTTTTAAAAAACGTTTAATTACATTTTATAAGCTTTCTGCTTTTATTAAAGGTTTTGTATTGCAGTTAAAAAGGGAAGTTATTTTAAACTACCCACTTACTTAATATAGTTTATACACTATACAGGGGTACAATTCGGAATAAATTATAAATCTGTGATTTTTTTCACCTAAAGCAGTGTATAATCTTATAATGAGAGTTATTGATGGCTGACATTCAGGAGTAGAGACTGGAGAAGCGGACATTTAGGAGTATAGAGAAGCACGCACTCCTCCGTACCCTACCTACTTAACTACAATTTATTCATTATGTGTCATGTCCAAACAATAAGAGCCTATGAATACGATAAACTTTTGGTGGTCCCTCAAGCATCCCCAGTCATCAAGACGGAGTGTAGTCCTTTGTCTATGTGTGCCAAATGTAAGGTGGTATTAATATTGTAATTAACTATACTGAGGTGTAACCCTAATCAAGGTTTATCATGTGACCAAGGAGTTTGACAAAGGTATCAAATGTAGGACTCCTCCTACAATGAGCACGCTCACAAAACTTTAATTATTCACACACTGTCGAGACTGCTCCATTTCTAAATTTAGAGATCTGTCTTTTATAATGATACCGTCTTGTCGAAAGTCGATGTACCTGATTGTGTACGTAGTGCTCCACTAGAAGTTAGTGGGGTCGCAGTTTCATTATCACAGTTCATTATGACTAAAAATCAGGCAATTATTGATATACCTTAATATCAGCTTTAAGTTTTCGACTCGTTTTCGTTTGAGTGGACAACTTTGGGCCAGTGTATTCATGTGGCTGAGTATAAAATCATATTATAGAAGCTGTCCAGTTTCTGATTGTGCAACTCTTTATGGGTAACCATGGGGATTGCACAGACCAAAATGCCCTCAGTGTGTGGCCCCTCCTTCTATTATAGTTATAATTATATGCTTATTGAACTTGAAGGGGTTGTACTCACCTGCAGGCTTGCCAGGAGGGTCTTTTTAAATTCAAATGTGTAACTTCTAACTGTGTGTCATCCACAATTCAAGGTCAATGACTCATTGCCTGACAATGACTGCTGCAATACTTGTAAACAGAAACGATCAATAAATTCAATGTCGTGACATATTTGAGAGAAGTTACCAATTACCATTCGTTGTCGCTGGGGCCCTTAATATTATACTGTTCCTGTCGCGACTCGCATACATTAAGCACTGTGCTCAAATACTAGTATATCGTTCTGATGTTATAATGTTTGATTAATCTACGATGCTTATAAAAAGCAAGCACAGCTAACTTCCGGTCAATCGACACACGCAAACTTCAACAACATACATGCCAAGTGCTTCTAGTTTTGTATTTTGGTTCGATGAACTTCATGATGACACTGAGGGTCTGTGATGTTAGTGTTTACTTTTTACCACCCACTTCTCAAGGTGGTTCGTTATACTTATAGCGGTACACATAAGGAGTGCTATTTATGAAGGGGCTACGAAGCAACGTGTGTTTGCATTATAAGTGTGGCCCGGCAGAGCGGACAATGGCCCGGTTACAATTACGTGCTAAGAGTTGGGGAGAGCATGTCTGCCTGGAGAGTGCGGGTTGTTCCTTGTTTTGTATTGTTCCTCGTGTTTAGGTTATCCTCGTGTCGAGATCGCAGCTATTGTGCTGCTTCAAAAGCTTTTTGGGGTAGGTCGCGGCCTTTCTATTGTGTTAGCTGCAATCAATTATGTTATAATCATAATTTATGATTAATTCAGTGCATGCTTACCAGCTAAGTAAAAACTTTAACCTCGCATAGCTCTTTTAGCTGTACTATAAAAAGTGATTTAACTTTTCTGGGTTTGCGTCATATTGTGACAACATCCGATCAGAACCTCCTGATTATACATCTTATGGTCATGGAATGATCAGTTAATCAGTATAGGCTTTAAATCTTCTTTATCGCAAACTAGGCAATTTCTTTTGTAAACTTGGAAGACTTGAAAGTTGAAAGACATTTACCAATTCAACAAACATATTTTGTTTTAAAGTTTTTATGCAGATTTGGCACACATTTTACAACTCCTGCATATTTTAAGCAAGTTGCTCAATTAACATAGACGTATTTTAATAGCAATTGAAACAATCGAAATAAAAGGAATAACAAAACGTTTCATCAATAAAGCAAAACCAATCGCACAAGATTGGTATTGTTTCATCATGAAACGATCGCCCAAAAGATTTCATTTGTTTCGATTATCATAGCATGTACATTATGATATTCATGAAAAGAATCAGAAACTCGGACTATAATCAACATCGTCTAATAACCATCGTCTCGAATGGCGTCACTTACACAGACCTATAGAAGCTATATAGCCGTATTTCTTGTCTTTCAGTAACTTCGACTGTTCTCGATCTGACGTTCGCAGCTGCAGTCACGCAGTGTCTAAGTATTTGACACATACATTTTTGTTCAATTGATACTCTTTGGTAATTACCGCTACTGTTACTGCAATTCAACTTGTTGAATTATTGATGAAAGAGGGATTGATAGAGAGAGGCAGTCTTGAGTCTTGCACAATGGTATGTTTTTGAAATTCTAAACGCACCTCACACCGGCTGATGGGAAAACAAAGATCTGAAAAATTCTTGAGATGCCAACATTTGCCAACTTTAAGAACAATAGTATTCTACAGACTGTTATACCCTTTTGAACTTTGTAGCTCAATCCCCTTATGTTAGCATTTCCTGATAATATTTTTGATGTTGAAAATTTTATATGGGACTAATGTTTTGACCGCGTTTATCAATTAAAACTTCACAACTATCTGTTATACCTACCCTGTATAATACCTGATACCAATAATGTTTTCCTCACTACTTTT